CCTCTCAGTGTCAGAACTTCTTTGGAAACATCCAGGATCAGTATACAAGCCAAAGCGACACCACCACGGGAGCACAAGTTTGTATAGATATGTCCATAGATCTATATTTTTTATTATTGTTTTATATATATTTATAATATATTTATATATCTTTAAAAGAATCCCTTCAAAAACTACCCTCCCACCTAGCAAAACAAAGATTAAACAATCCAAGATGGCAGCTGCACCCCAGAGCAAAGTACCCCAGGGTCTCAGAGAGCCAAAATGATTGCTGAGCACCAGCAGCCTCTTTTCCAAGCTCCTGTGATGCCCTCCAGGTGCCAAGGTGACCAACACAGTTTTATGGCTCTTTTAAATTGACCTGCCAAGAGACAGGGAGAGAGAAAGAGAGGAGCACTGGGCCGTAGGGGCTGGAGGGGGAGGAGAAACAGCAAGGCAAACAGCTGGAAGTGTGAAATGATGTCACCAAGAGGGAGGCACTGCCTGGACAGTTGGTAAAGACAGGAAAGAGAACAAACATGCAGGTGAATTAGTTGGCAAGATAGATCTTGGAGAAGAGCTCAGAAGCATCACACTTGGGACCCTGGCTACCCCTCCATCTCCCAGATCTCTTCCTCTCACCCTCCCAGTTGTGAAGGGAGATCCAACTAGTTTGATTTGGACCAGATCTTCGCGCTGCCCCGGAGCCTGTGGAGACAGAATAAACATCAGCAACGAGGGGGAATGGATTAAAATTGGAAGAGGGCAGATTTAGGTGAGACATTAGGAAGAAATAATTTACTGTGAGGGTGGTGAGACACTGGCACAGGCTGCCCAGGGAAGCTGTGGAAGCCCCATCCCTGGAAGTGTTCAAGGCCAGGTTGGATGGGGTTCTGAGCAACCTGGTCTAGTGGGAGGTGTCCCTGCCCATGCAGGGGGGTTGCAACCAGATGAACATTAAGGTCCCTTCCAACCCACACCATTCCATGATTAGATGAGTTCAGAGTGGACACTAAGACTCATCCCTGACTTCCTTATCTAAATGCACATAAAGAGCAACTGACATTCTTTGCAAGAGCAGAACACAAGCAGGGCTTATGAACTCTGCTGCGGTTCAAGAGTTGCAGAGATCTTCCCCCAAACTAGCAGGAGATAAGCTCAGCTGGGACTACATCACCAACCATCCCCTGTCCTGAGAGCAGATGCCAGCAGCACCTCAGTGCTCTGAAACAGGCCCAGTTCACCTGCTTAACCAACACCGTGGCTCTTGCCATTCTCCCCCCCCTCCTCACCCTTTGGCTTTGGAAGTTTTCTTGCTGGCCTGGCGCTGGTTGGTGCCAGGGGCTGGCTCCCTAAGCTCTGTTAGGTGCTGTTCTGGGTCCTGGGATGTGGCTGCTGCAGCAGCTGCTGTTGTCACTTTAATGGTCTTCTTCAGGTTTGCCACCTGCAGTAGGACAAAAACAAGAACCAAGGAATTTCCCAGGGGTTTCAGCTGCTTTTGGTTCTTCTTAGCTTGTTTATAGTTTTGTTATTGTTGTTTTTTAAAGCAGGCCTTGGATTTAGGAGTTGCAAGCTCAGGTCAAACAAAAGAAGGACCAGTTGTCCACACATATACAATGCAGACTGTCAGGCTGCTTTAGGAGTCTTTTTCAGGCACAACCCCCTAGGGGGTCTGGCCTATGGAAAAGGTAATGATCAACACCTCCAAGTCCCATCCCTGGAAGTGTTCAAGGCCAGGTTGGATGAGGCTCTGAGCAACCTGGTCTAGTGGGAGGTGTCCCTGCCCATGCAGGGGGGTTGGAACTAGATGATCTTTAAGCTGCCTTCCAACCCAAATCTCTCTATGATTCTATGACAATACCTTACTTGAGGACTGCAACCACCACAGGGTTCTAGTCATTTTAAGTGAGGGGCACTGGCTGCTTCCCCTTGCTGCCACTCACCTCACTCTCAATCTGCTGCTTCAGTGCCAGCTGCTGCTCTTTGTGCTGGTTGGCCCGGCTGACCTGCTCCTCAATGCCCGACAAGACCACCTCACAGCCCTGGCACCTGGAGAGGAGAAGCAGGACTGAACAGACCAGGGGATTGGAAGGAACGTGAAAGATGACAGATTCCAGAAACAGACCATGAGGTGATGGCTACAGGCAGCAGGGAAAACACAGGAGCAGCAGGCCAGTGTCATGACATGATTACCTGGGAGGGGGATAGTTAACATGTCGCAAGCTTAGGGACTAAAGAAGTGTATACTCTGAAAGCCTCCTGCCAGCAGCCAGAAGCGTGCAAAGCTGGCTGTGATCCCTCCAGCAATAAACAGGGGAGTTTGGGAAGTCATTTTTGGAAAATTGCTTTCCCCTGTAGCATGGGAAAGGTGGATTTTAGAGGCCACCTCCCACCGCC